AAGCAAAAAATAAAAGGCCTAATGAACAGTAAGGGGCCATATAATAAAAGGCCTTGGAAATTTCGAACCTAGTCCTACAGGCAACAGAAACATTTTAAGATTCATTACCAACTAGAAAGATGGTATGATACAGGTAATTCTGTATTTTGGGGAAATTATCTGGTGTGTATAATTGATAAGATAGAGAAAGCAGGGAGATAAAAACAAAGTATTTAGCCAGGCGCAGTGGCTCAAGCCTGTAATCCCAGCACTTTGGGAGGCCGAGGCGGGTGGATCACGAGGTCCAGAGATCGAGACCATCCTGGTCCACATGGTGAAACCCCGTCTCTACTAAAAATACAAAAAATTAGCTGGGCATGGTGGCACGTGCCTGTAATCCCAGCTACTCAGGAGGCTGAGGCAGAAGAATTGCCTGAACCCAGGAGGCGGAGGTTGCGGTGAGCCGAGATCGCGCCATTGCACTCCAGCCTGGGTAACAAGAGCAAAACTCTGTCCAAAAAAAAAAAAAACAAAGTATTTAGTGCACCATTCCCTCCTAACTTTGCCGATTCTATCTTGGGACCAAATTTCTTCAGTCTCAAATGTATTTTATAGCTCTGCATCAATACACTAGTTGCTATCTAAATAATCAAGGCTTGAAATGCTACATGCTGATTCTTCACTTCCAAGAGTCTATTACCAGCTCCTGATCATTCTTCCCTCAGGAACCCTTTGCCTATCATTCCCTTTCTATTCCTACTGCCAGCACCCTAATACAGGAAGGGCCTCATTACCTTACATTTGGGTTTCTCAGTTTCTCTGCCTCCGGTCTTTCCTCCCTTCATCCAACCTAAACATTGCTACCAGATTCATCTTCAGAAACACCCTGCACATATTACCCCTTGCTCAGAAATCTTTGAAGTACTGCTTAAGAAAAGACAAACCAAATGCCTTAACTGGCAATGGAGGAAGTCATCCTGACATCACTGCTCAATGTCGTCAGGCCCAGCTCATATACCACCTCCTTACAAATTCCCACATCTAGCATAGACTAGAACAGCTCTGTCAACAGACATATATACCTGCCATGAATGTACTTTTAAATTTCTTCATGGCCACATGGAAAAGTGAAAAAGAAACAGGTGAAATGAATTTTAGCATATTGTATTTAACCCAATAGGTCCAAAATATTTCAACATGTAATAATGTTGAATATTTTACATAAATATGAAGTTATGTTCATATTAAGTCTTCAAAATCCAGTGTGCATTTTATATTGACAGCCTATTTGAATTATCGACTAACCACATCTGAAGTGCTCAGTAGCTACACGTGGCTAGTGGCTACTGTAATAGTGTAGCTCTAGACTTCCTATTTTTACATGTCTCAGACTGGATTTTAAGGGTATTGCCAAACATTTACTCTCCCAGATTAAAAAATCACGAGGTCAAGAGACCGAGACCATCCTGGTCAACATGGTGAAACCCCATCTCTACTAAAAATACAAAAAATTAGCTGGGCATTGTGGCGCGTGCCTGTAATCCCAGTTACTCAGGAGGCTGAGGCAGGAGAATTGCCTGAACCCAGGAGGCGGAGGTTGCAGTGAGCCGAGATCACGCCATTGCACTCCAGCCTGGGTAACGAGAGCGAAACTCCATCTCAAAAAAAAAAAACAACTCAAGTCACCTCTTACCATCAACGTGGCAGTGACCATGTGAATCCCATTTGACATTTACCTCATGTCTCTCTGACCTGCTTCACTGTTGTGCCTCCACAGATGCTCATGGCCTTACCTGAATGATTGCCAATTTCCTTTCATCTAGATTTCCTGTTCCCAGTTGATCTTTCATATAGCTGTCAGAGACCATCCTAAAAAAACAAGTATTCTGCCCACTCCTTGCACAAAGTATCCACTGGATTCCTGCTAACTACTGAATAAAATCTGAACTCCCTACTGGAAATCAAGATCCTCCAAAGCTGATCTTAACCTACCTCTTCCTTCACCAATCACTCTTGCACTAAATGCTCAAGCAGGTTATTATCCCATTCTCCCTAAGTATGCTAAAGCTTCTCAAAGCTCTGTATTCTGCACTGAATCCCGGAATTACCTTCTCCTTTTGAGCTCAGCAAATTCCTTTTCATCCTAATGACCCAGCTCAAATATTTACTCCTTTACAAAGCTTTCTTGTTGCCCTAGGCAAAGTTATTTTGTTATAAAGGGGGCATGAAGAATATTTGTTGAACGGATGTCCAATGTACAAAGGAGTAAAAGTGATAAGCTTTGTATTTCCAATGCCAGGCTCACTGGTCAAGGCAGCATAAATGGGTACTGCAGGAAGGAACGAAGCCTCATCACATCATAAATTCCTTCAAGGCCCTGGTTTTGATAGATAGTACTTCATCGCAAATATCTATCAAAGTTAACTTGCCCTCTCAATAATGATCAAATGATCGTGCATGTTGCTGGGTGCGGTGGCTCACACCTGTAATCTCAACACCTTGGGAGTTTGAGTTCCAGACCAGCCTGGGCAACATGGCAATACCCCATCTCTACTAAAGACACAAAAAAGTAGCCAGGCACAGTGGCTGCACTGCTCACCCCAGCTACTTGGGAGGCTGAGGTGGGAGGACTGCTTGAGCCCAGGAAGTGGAAGCTGCAGTGAGCTGAGATGGCACCACTGCACTCCAGCCTGGAAGACAAGCGAGACCCCATCTCAAAGAATAAAAAATCGGCCGGGCGTGGTGGCTCAAGCCTGTAATCCCAGCACTTTGGGAGGCCGAGGCGGGTGGATCACGAGGTCGAGAAATCGAGACCATCCTGGTCAACATGGTGAAATCCCGTCTCTACTAAAAATACAAAAAAACATTAGCTGGGCATGGTGGCACGTGCCTGTAATCCCAGCTACTCAGGAGGCTGAGGCAGAATTGCTTGAACCCAGGAGGCGGAGGTTGTGGTGAGCCGAGATCACGCCATTGCACTCCAGCCTGGGTAACAAGAGCGAAACTCCATCTCAAAAAAAAAAAAAAAAAAAAGAATAAAAAATCATGACCGTGGCCTGGCAAGGTGGCTCACGCCTGTAATCCCAACATTGGGATCCTGGCTGTGGCAGGCGGATCAACTGAGGTTGGGAGTTCAAGACCAGCCTGACCAACATGGAGAAACTCCGTCTCTACTAAAAATACAAAATTAGCTGGGCGTGGTGGTGCATGCCTGTAATCCCAGCTACTCCAGAGGCTGAGGCTGGAAAATCACTTGAACCCAGGAGGCGGAGGTTGCGGTGAGCCGAGATCGCGCCATTGCACTCCAGCCTGGGCAACAAGAGCGAAACTCGGTCTCAAAAAAGAAAAGAAAAAAAAAAATCATGACCGTGCATGTTGATGACAACTAAGGTGAACTAAGCAAAATCCAAGGAAAACACAAGAGTTTGGGTTAGCCTCGGAGCTCACTTAGTGGGAAGTCTCTTCCCAGTCAGTTGAGGGTTGCAAGGCCGGGTATGGTGACTCATGACTGCAATCCCAGCACAGGCCAAAACTGGAGGATCTCTTGAGCCCAGGAGTTCGACACCAGCCTGGGCAACACAGTGAAACGCCGTTTCAAAGAAGGGTGGGGGAAGAGAGAAGAAAGAGCAAACGAGTGAGAGAGAGATTAATGGGATTGTAAAATTAAATAATAGGGGATGGGGCTGGGCGCAGAGGCTCACATCTGTAATCCCAGCACTCTGGGAGGCCGAGGCTGGTGGATCACGAGGTCAGTTGTTCGAGGCCAGCCTGACCCACATGATGAAACCTCATCTCTCTTTAAAACTTTTTACAAATAAAAATAAATAAATAAATAAGGGAATGGGTATAAATGATAGCTCAGGTAGGCCGGGCGCGGTGGCTCAAGCCTGTAATCCCAGCACTTTGGGAGGCTGAGGCGGGCGGATCACGAGGTCGAGAGATCGAGACCATCCTGGTCAACATGGTGAAACCCCGTCTCTACTAAAAATACAAAAAATTAGCTGGGCATGGTGGCGCGTCCCTGTAATCCCAGCTACTCAGGAGGCTGAGGCAGGAGAATTGCCTGAACCCAGGAGGCGGAGGTTGCGGTGAGCCGAGATCGCGCCATTGCACTCCAGCCTGGGTAACAAGAGCGAAACTCCGTGTTAAAAAAAAAAAAAAAAAAAAAGATAGCTCAGGTTCACCGGGTCACAGGAGGCCAGACTTGCCGGGATTGGAGCTAATCTGACCTCTTGTTTTCTAAAAAGCACGTAGTCAAAAAGAATTAGGACTTAGGACTTCACAGTGATAGTGGAAGCACTCGAGGGCGACGGGGGGAGGGCAAGACCCTTTTAGTACAGCATGATACAAACATCCGAAAAGTCTCTGGAATCGATGAACAAAAAGGACGCCTACGTGGTATGGTCTCTCAGCCCAAAACGACGGAAAGAGCCCGAGGGCTGGAGGCTGAGAACGCCGCAGCCACGAGGCCAAGAACCCAAAGCTGGCGTCGGTTTAACTCCTCCAGCGCCGAGAGATGAAAGCGGGAAGCACAGAGAAACAGAAAGGACGGAAGGAGATCCCGGGAGGGAACCGCATGGGCTGCCGCAAAACAGCCGGGAGCTTGAGACCCATGGAGAAGTCACTTCTCTTTCCCTCGCTGACCACTTCTGCCGGAAACGGCCTGGACAGTCGCAGCCGGCGGACGCGTACTCTGGGGAGACCGGGTCGGAGTTAGGGACCGGCGCTCCCGGAGGGCCGATGACGCCGCCCCCCCAGCCAGAGGCTCGCTCCTTTCTCCCGCCCTCACTTGCCTCGTCTGGCCTCCCCTAGTGCCGTCCACTTCCCTTCCCAACCCCTAGGCGAATCCAGGTTCAATAGGGAGAAAAGCCGATGCTGGCTCAGCAGCGCCGAGGACAACCGGCCGGCAGAAGCCCCACAGTGGCGGCCGCCATTTTGGAGCTGGAGGACAGCGGCGGAAGCAAAGAGCACCCAGGACGAGACCATCTCCGGGGGGTGGGCACAGGGCTGTGGGAAGAAGACGGCGCTTACGCCTGCATGCCTCTTCGGCGTTGAGCCAAGTTTTATTCAGATATTATTGGTAATGTTTAGTAGCTAAGAAAAAATGAGAGGAGTCGACCCTGAGGAGGAAGAAGCGATGTGATTTGCCGGCGCCACCCCTCTGCTCCCTGCGGACGCGGCAAATGGCAAGTCCCGAGGTCGCAGCTTCTACCGGAGCGGGTGGCTGAGTTCTCCGTTGTCCTTGGGGTCTGCGGTCGCTGTTGCCACTGGGCCTGCAGGTGGGTCTGGGGAGCCCGGGCGGCCGCGGTGCCGATCGGCGAGGGTGGAGGGGTCCTCCTTTGGGAGGCGGAGGTGGGCGGACAACCTGAGGTCGGGAGTTTGAGACCAGCCTGACCAATATGGAGAAAGCAAATAAGCGGCTAACATGGCCGCTTGGTCTGTATCACAAAAAAGACCTAAAGATATAAATACAAATAATGTTGCCATGGCACCATCTTTTAGGAATTAAAGTGAGGTTGATTACACTTACATTTATATGTCCAAGAACCATTTGCATCAAAATCTGTGGGAAGTTCTTTTAAGTACAGATTTTCCAGTCCCACCCTGGAGGTAAGGCCAAGAAATCCCTAGACGGAAAAGGGCTCCTCCGGTGATTTTGATGTACAGTCAAGTTTAAGAACTCCAGCTGAAGGCCGGGCGCGGTGGATCGAGCCTGTAATCCCAGCACTTTGGGAGGCCGAGGCGGGTGGATCACGAGGTCGAAAGATCGAGACCATCCTGGTCAACATGGTGAAACCCCGTCTCTACTAAAAATACAAAAAAAAACTAGCTGGGCGTGGTGGTGCATGCCTGTAATCCCAGCTACTTAGGAGGCTGAGGCAGTAGAATTGCCTGAGCCCAGGAGGCGGAGGTTGCGGTGAGCCGAGATCGCGCCATTGCACTCCAGCCTGGGTAACAAGAGCGAAACTCCGTCTCAAAAAAAAAAAAAAAAAAAAAAAAGAACTCCAGCTGTAAATAATAGACTAAAACTTAAAACAAATTGATGGCAGTTGTAAATTAACTATTTATCTAATCTTTAACCGCTGTCATAATTTTCTAGACCAGTGATATACTGGAACATGTGTAGCATTACACTTTATAAAATACAGTATATAATAATTATGGGACTTTTAAGTTCATGACCACTTCCTAAACCAAACACTTTGGAAGTCTGAGAAATAATTTGAATTGTGAGGTCAGGTGCTGTGGCTCAGTCCTGTAATCCCAGAGCTTTAGTAGGCTGAGGCAGGAGGATCACTTGAACCCAGGAATTTGAGGTTCCAGTGAGTTATGATCATGCTACTGCATTCCAGCCGGGGAAACAGAGCAAGACCTTGCCTTTTAAAAGAAAAGTATGGCCAGGCGCGGTGGCTCATGCCTGTAATCCCAGCAGTTTAGGAGGCCAAGGTGGCCAGATCATGAGGTAAGGAGTTCGAAACCAGCCTGACCAACAGTGAAACCCCATCTCTACTAAAAATACGAAAATTAGCCGGGCATGGTGGCATGGCTGAGAATTTGCTGAGCATGGTGGCTAAGGCAAGAGAATTGCTTGAACCCAGGAGGCGCAAGAGAATTGCTTGAACCCAGGAGGCGGAGGTTGCAGTGAGCTGAATTTGCACAACTGCACTCCAGCCTGGGCCACAGAGCAAGACTGTGTCTCAAAAAAAAAAAAAAGAAAAGAAAAGAAAAAGAAAAAAGTATGAATTGGATAACTATGCCACCCAGTGTCAGAGGAGAGGCAGAAATTTAGTCTACATAGTCCTAGCACAGCTTAGTGCTGAGAAAGTGCTGACAACAATAATGTGTTGATTGTCTTTGTATGATAATATGTCTTCTCAGTCATTGTACATGATTTATTAATTTAGGTCCAAATGCACACAGGTGTATTTTGACTTACTGTGTATATACAAATTTTTACAGAAAATTGGCAATCCAACTATGTTTTTATTGAATTAGTGCAATTTATTTTCCACATGATAATTATTACAGGTTCAGCATCCCTGATCAGAATATTGAAAATCCAAAATGCCCCCAGATCTGAAGCTTGGGGCCACAAGTTTGAGACCAGCCTGGGCAACATAGCAAGAGCTACAAAAAAAATTTTTTTAAGATTTTTTTTTTTTTTTAATTAGCATGTGTAGCTGCAGCTACTCAGGAGGTTGAGGTGGGAAGATCACTTGAGCTCAGGAGTTCAAGACTGCAGTGGACTATGATAACTCCACTGTACTCCATCCTAGGTGACAGAGTAAAACTTTAAAAAAAAAAAAATTCCTATAAGATTCCCTTCAGGCTATGTGTATAAGGTATATTTATAAAGCACAAATGAATTTTATGTTTAAATTTGATCCTATCCTCAAGATAGCTCATGTATATGCAGATATTTCAAAATCTGAACAAATCCGAAATACTTCAGGTCCCAAGCATTTCAGATACAGAAAACCCAATAGTTTAGAACCCTATAGTTCTATTCCTCCTTGTCCACCTTCTGGAAACTCAGCATTTAAAAGTTTTTAAGTACCATAAACGTCAATTCAGGGAGAGGTTTCTTAGGCACAAGCTGTAATATAATAGGAGCCAAAGCTGTTGAGTGAAGCTGAATTTGAACTCCAGCTCTATACTTAATAGCTCTATACTTAATTTGGATTAAGCTATTTTCTTTTTCTTTTTTCTTTTTTCTTTTTTGTGGCATGAGTCTATGTCTGAAGGATTAAGCTATTTTCTTATCTGTAAAACGTAGATAATAGTTATTTCACATTACATGTAGAAATGTATGATGGCTCTGGTACCTAGTAGTCATTCATTGTTTTTTTTTTTTTTTTTTTTGAGACATTGTCTTGCTCTGTTACCCAGGTGATCTGTGATCTCAGCTCACTGCAACCTCTGTCTCCTGGGGTCAAGCAGTCCTCTCACCTCACCCTCCTGAGTAGCTGGGACTACGAGCATATACCACCACACCCAGCTAATTTTTTGATTTTTTTTTTTGTAGAGGCAAGGTTTTGCCATGTTACCCAGGCTCGTCTCAAACTTCTAGGCTCAAGCAATCCATTCACCTTAGCCTCCCAAAGTGCTGGGGTTACAGGCATGAGCCACCTAGTAGTCATTCTGTAAAAGTAAGTTTTCTTCCTTTACCTTTTGTTTTTCTTTTTTTGAGATGGAGTCTCTCTGTCCCCCAGGCTGGAGTGCAGTGATACCATCTCAGCTCACTGCAACCTCTGCCTCCTGAATTCAAGCAATTCTCCTGCCTCAGCCTCCTGACTAGCTAGGATTACAGGCGTGCACCACCACTCCTAGCTAATTTTTGTATTTTTAGTAGAGATGGGGTTTTACCATGTTGGCCAAGCTGGTCTCAAACTCCTGACCTCATGATCTGCCTGCCTCAGCCTCCCAAAGTGCTAGGATTACAGGTGTGAGCCATCACACCCAGCCCCTTTACCTTTTATAGAGTAATTGATATTCAGATCTACTGTGACATTATTGAATGTAGTTTTTTTTTCCTCTCATATCTTAATTTTCCTTCTAAAATTAGTTTTCAGTAAGTTTACCTAAAGAATTCCACTTCTGGCAAAATTGTATTATTAAATTTGTTTTTGCCTTGCAAGAAATTCTAAATGTTTTACACATGTAAAAGTTCTTAATCAGAGCTAGGTGTACTGGTGCATGCCTGTAGTCCCAGCTACTTGGGAGGCTGAGGCAGGAAGAATACTTAAGCCCAGGAGCTGAGAGCCGTAGTGCCTGTGAATAGCCACTGCCCTCCAGCCGGGGCAAGGTAGTAAGACCTCGTCTCTTTTACAAAGAAAAAGGTTCCAAAACAGCATGAGGAGGGTGCAAACAATCAACTGTTGGCAAGTACAATTTTTGTATCTTATCACATCACTAGTGAAGCTATAAGTAAAATTTTTTGTGTGTGTGAGTGTGTGTGTGAGACGGAGTTTCGCTCTTGTTACCCAGGCTGGAGTGCAATGGCGCGATCTCAGCTCACTGCAACCTCCACTTCCTGGGTTCAGGCAATTCTCCTGCCTCAGCCTCCTGAGTAGCTGGGATTACAGGCACGCACCACCATGCCCAGCTAACTTTCTGTATTTTTAGTAGAGACGGGGTTTCACCTTGTTGACCAGGATGGTCTCAATCTCTTGACCTTGTGATCCACCCGCCTCGGCCTCCCAAAGTGCTGGGATTACAGGCTTGAGCCACCGCGCTCAGCCGCTGTAAGTAAAATTTAATAAATATACTTGGTACAGTGTAATTTTTATATTAATCATTGTCCCATATATAATCTTGAATTCTATTTTAAGCATTACACTACATTCTGATGCCAGGCAAGCAGAGAGGCTTATGCTTTTAACACCTGTCTCTTACATCTATGTCTGTCATCTTCCTGTTTCAGGTGCAATTTGTTTATTTATTTATTTTGTTGAGACAGTGTCTTGCTCTGTCACGCAGGCTGGAGTGTAGTGGCACAATCTTGGCTCACTGAAGTCTCTGCCTCCTGGGTTCAAACAGTTCTGCCTCAGCCACTCCAATAGCTGGGATAAGAGACATGCACCACCACAGTTGGCTAATTTTTGTACTTTTAGTAGAGACGGTATTTTGCCATGTTGGCCAGCCTGGTCTCAAACTCCTCACCTCAAGTGATCCACCCAGTTTAGCCTCCCAAAGTGCTGGGATTACAGGCATGAGCCACCACGCCCAGCCCAGATGCAATTTAAAAGCTATTTCAAAAAAAAAAAAGTCCAGGTGCAGTGGCTCATGCCTGTAATCCCAGCACTTTGGGAGGCCTAGGCAGGCAGATTACGAGGTCAGGAGTTCAAGACCAGCCTGGCCAATGTAGTAAAACCCCTGTCTCAACTAAAAATACAAAAAAATTAGCACGGTGTAGTGACAGGCACCTTTAATCCCAGCTACTCAGGAAGCTGAGGCAGGAGAATTGCTTGAACTGGGGAGGCAGAGGTTGCAGTGAGCTGAGATAGTACCACGGCATTCCAGCCTGGGTGACAGAGCCAAGACTCCCTCTCAAAAAAAGCAGGGGGGGTGTATTTCTGATATTTTCTTTTTTCTTTTAGTGATCATGGTGAGCTTCATTCAATTTGTGCGGGACCTCTGGGTGGGTATTTTTGTCCCTGTGGGATTTGTCCTTGGATGTTATCTTGACAGAAAGAATGATGAAAAGCTAACTGCCTTCCGGAACAAGAGTATGTTATATAAAAGGTTAGTCTGCATTTTTTTAAATCAGCAATTGGCCAGATTTGGGGAATATTCTTTTTAATATGTGCCAAAAATAAATGGAAGGGGCCGGGCACGGTGGCTCAAGCCTGTAATCCCAGCACTTTGGGAGGCCGAGGCGGGTGGATCACAAGGTCAAGAGATCGAGACCATCCTGGTCAACATGGTGAAACCCCGTCTCTACTAAAAATATAAAAAAATTAGCTGGGCATGGTGGTATGTGCCTGTAATCTCAGCTACTCAGGAGGCTGAGGCAGGAGAATTGCCTGAACCCAGGAGGCGGAGGTTGCAGTGAGCCGAGATCGCGCCATTGCACTCCAGCCTGGGTAACAAGAGTGAAACTCCGTCTCAAAAAATAAAAAAATAAATAAATGGAAGGGGTAATTTCCTGCCCCCCCCCCGAGGACTTAGATTCAAATTATACTGTTTTTTAGTCTTGTTTATTATTGAATCCTTGGATAAAGCAATATGATTACCTCTAGAATGTAAACAGTCTTCATTTTATGAATAGGCTATTTCAGGTCTTTGAAAGTATCCTCTTATTTTAATTCAAAGTGCATTTTAATATGAAACAGTTTTAAAGCAGTTGACCAAAGCCTAACTTAGATACAGCTTCCACATACATTGTCATATATATTATCTTACTTAAGACATGATATTGAAGAGGAAGTTTGCAAAGCAGAGGTTAAAAAAAAGAAAGAAAGAAAAAAGAAAGACATGATATAGGCTGGGCACAGTGCACGCCCAGCCAGTAATTACAATTCTTTAACCCAGAAAAATGAAGGTGATGATATGGTTAAAATCATGAGAGAAAAGAATGAATATGATGAATTGGATATGTAAATTTTTTAAATGGATCAGTGTAATAGAAAATAAAATATTGGCCAGGCATGGTGGCTCATACCTGTAATCCTAGCACGCTGGGGGCCAAGGCAGGCAGATCCCTTGAGGTCAGGAGTTCAAAACCAGCCTGGCTAACATGGTGAAACTCTCTCTCCACTAAAAATAGAAAATTAGGTGTGGTGTGGCAGGACTGTAATCCCAGCTACTCAGGAGGGTGAGACAGGAGAATAGCTTGAACCCAGGAGGTGGGGTTTGCAGTGAGCCAAGATTGTGCGACTACACTCCAGCCTGGGCGACAGAGCAAGACTCCGTCTCAAAAAATAAAATTAAAATTTTGACTGACTTCCCCTTTTATTTCTTAGCAAAGTTTTATTTTCACTTTTTCCATTTTTTCCTTTTTTGCTTTCCACACAGGGAATTGCGACCCAATGAAGAATATACCTGGAAGTAAAGACTGGCCGACATATGCAGTGTTCACATTTTAAAGTTCTGAGAGAAATAAAAACGTGTCATTATTGAATTTGAAGAATCTGAAATGTCTTTCTTTTTATACGAAGGTAGTTGTTACAGTGAATCTCAAGTTTCTCTTCAAAGAATCAGTATGTCAATATGTTCAGTTCTCTTATTATTTAGTTCTCTATTTTAAAGTTTAACTTCCTCGTAATTCTAGTTAACAACCTTCTCCCCAGGTTCCAATCAGTAGTTCACATCTGCTCCTCCTCCCCACCATCCTGATTCATCCCAGTCACTTCCCTGCTCGCTGAAACACCCACCCTGCCACTCCAGCTTGGACTCCTGCTCTTTTTAAAATAGCCAGTCTGGATTAGTCTAGCTTGTGTTGTCTAACCCTAGCCAATAGGGGACGACACACCAACAGGGGCGACCCTCCCCTGCACCAGGCATAAGTACCCTTCCCGCCTTATCCAAGGCTGTGGCAGCCATCATTGCACCTGTCTATAGAAGTAAACTGCCTTGCTGAGATGACATATCTTCAAGTGCCATTTCTTTTGCAGCAGAGTCTTTCTAGTAACAAGCATACTTAGCTTACAAAATAATGATTAGGTAATTATTGTATTAACTAATTGTATACCTATTGTAAACATTGGTTTTAATAATTAGCATTTAATTTGCTGTTTCTCATTTTGGACCACAGTGCTATTAAATCATAGAGCCAATTTTTTATCAGATATTTTTCAGGGAAAAAAAATTTCAAATCTTGTGCTTCGGTGGGACTTTAAAAGGATGATGCTAAGATTTTGATAAAAATCACATAACTAAAAATTTTAGTGACCTTAGGTTTGGCAAAGCTTTTTCCTTTTGTAAAATCTGGGATACACATAGGAAGCAAGGATTTTTAAAATATAACACACAAAACATTAACTAATTTAAAAAATCAGTTAAGTTGTACTTTATCAAAATTTAAAACATTTGCTCTTCAAAAAACATATCTAGAATATGTAAAGAATCCTTATAGCTTAATAATAAACAACTGAACTTTTAAAATCGGCAAAAGATTTTAACAAACACTGCCAAAAGAGGTAAGAGGATGGCAGGTAAGCACATGAAAAGATACTCAGCATTATTAGTCACTAGAGAAATGCAAATTAACAGCATAATGAGATAGCACTATACACCTATTAAAATGGTTAAAATTAGGCTAGGCTGGGTGGCTCATGCCTGTAATCCCAACAATTTGGGAGGCCAATGTGGGTGGATCACAAGGTCCGGAGTTGAAGACCAGCCTGGCCAACATGATAACCCTGTCTCTACTAAAAATACGAAATTAGCTGAGCGTGGTGGTGCATGACTGTAATCTCAGCTACCTGGGAGGCTGAGGCAGGAGAATTGCTTGAACCCAGGAGGCAGAGGTTGCAGTGAGTAGAGATCATGCTGCGGCACTCCAGCCTGGGTGACAAAGCAAAATTCTGTGTTAAAATTAAATTTAGCCGGGCACGGTGGCTCAAGCCTGTAATCCCAGCACTTTGGGAGGCCGAGGCGGGTGGATCACGAGGTCGAGAGATCGAGACCATCCTGGTCGACATGGTGAAACCCCGTCTCTACTAAAAATACAAAAAATTAGCTGGGCATGGTGGCACATGCCTGTAATCCCAGCTACTCAGGAGGCTGAGGCAGAATTGCCTGAACCCAGGAAGCGGAGGTTGCAGTGAGCCGATACCGCGCCATTGCACTCCAGCCTGGGTAACAAGAGCGAAACTCCGTCTCAAAAAAAAAAAAAAAAAAATTAAATTTAAAAAAATGAAATGGTTAAAATGTAAAAGACTGACTACTAATTGTTAGCAAGGATATAGAGCAGCTAGAAGGCACACCCTGCTGGCAGGAATATAAGATGTAGCCACCAGTGATTTTAACACCTTGGAAATAAGTTTAGCAGTTTCAGGTTAAACATACACCTAACACTTGACACAGCCATCCCAGTCTGAGTTATTTACCCAGGAGAAATGGAAGCATATGTCTGCACAAAGACACATGAATGTTCATAGCAGTTTGATTCGTAACAGCCAAAAAGGAGGTTACCCAAATGAATGGGTAAATTGTATTGAATCCATATTGTGGACTACCACCCAGCAATGAAAAGGAATGATCTATTGATACAAAATATGGATGGATTTCAAACAGTGCTGAATGAAAGAAGCCAGATAAAGGATACATGCTATAGGATTCCATTTATGTAAATATAAAATGTTATAAATAGCACTCTGCAGTAACCAAGCAGTTCAGTGGTTGCCTCAGAGATCAGGGTCCAGAAGGTGGCTGGCTCATGCCTGTAATCCCAGCACTTTAAGAGGCTGAGGCAGTGAGATCATTTGAGTCAGGAGTTTGAGACCAGCCTGGCCAACATGGTGAAACCCTGTCTCTACTAAAAAATTTAGCAGGAGGCCAGGCGCGGTGGCTCTAGCCTGTAACCCCAGCACTTTGGGAGGCCGAGGTGGGTGGATCACGAGGTCAAGAGATCGAGACCATCCTGGTCAACATGGTGAAACCCCGTCTCTACTAAAAATACAAAAAAATTAGCTGGGCATGGTGGCATGTGCCTGTAATCCCAGCTACTCAGGAGGCTGAGGCAGGAGAATTGCCTGAACCCAGGAGGCAGAGGTTGCGGTGAGCTGAGATCGCACCATTGCACTCCAGCCTGGGTAACAAGAGCGAAACTCCATCTCAAAAAAAAAAAAATTTAGCAGGGCATGGTGCCCTGCACCTGTAGTTCCAGTTACTGGGCAGGAGAATTCCCTGAACCCGGGAGGTAGAGGTTGCAGATGCACAGGTTGCAGTGAGGTGAGATCATGCCACTGCTCTCCAGCCTGGGTGACAGAGCAAGACTATGTCTCAAAAAAAAAAAAAAAAGGGCCAGGTGCAGTGGCTCATACCTGTAATCCCAGCACTTTGAGAGGCTCAAGCAGTAAAGCAGATGGATCACTTGAGGTCAGGAGTTCAAGACCAGCCTGAACAACATGGTGAAACTACTAAAAATACAAAATTAGCCGCGGCCTAGTGGCCCAGGACTGTAATTCCAGCTACTTGGGAGGCTAAGACGGGAGAATCACTCCAACCCGGGAGGCAGAGGTTGCAGTGAGCTGAGATTATGCCTTTGTACTCCAGCCTGGGCAACAAGAGTGAAACTGGCTCAAAAAAAAAAAAAAAAAAGAGGAAACGGGTGTATTTTTCTTCTTGATTGAGGTGGTAGTTTCACAGGTGTAGTACACATGCCATCTGTTATATGTATGTGTGTGTCAAGATTTATCACATTGTAGACTTTTTTCTCCCTCTTTATTCCATATAGACTTTAAAACCCATAAAAGCAAGGATTAGCGTTGTTCACTCTTTTTTTTTAAGATGGAGTCTTGCTACAAACCACAGTGCTTAGAGAAAATAATTTTTTTAAAAAAAGAAAAAATAAAAAGATGGAGTCCCGCTCTGTCTCGGCTCACTGCAACCCATCTCCCGGATTCAAGCGATTCTCCAGCCTCAGTCTCCTGAGTAGCTGGGACTACAGGCGCGCGCCACCACGCCCAGCTAATTTTTTGTATTTTAGTAGACACGGGGTTTCACCATGGCCAGAATGGTCTCGATATCCTGACCTCATGATCCACCCGCCTCGGCCTTCCAAAGTGCTGGGATTACAGGCGTGAGCCACCGCGCCCGGCTGACATTAACTACATTTAAAAAAAAGAAAGAAAGAAAGAAACAGAAATGGTGGTTTGCAATTTTTTTCACTTTATGAGACTGTGATTTATTTCCCTGGTTAGGCCACACAATTCCTTAAGAATATGGACTTTCCCCAGTACAAGGCTATGAACTGTACTGAGATGCTCAACAAACGTTAGCAACGCCTCTCCTTCCTCATCTGGTCCTCTCTGGCAGTCTCCATTCCCTTACCTCTCACTGCCACTCTGCTCCTCTGACCCTGCAGTCCCCAAAGTCACAACAAAATGTAGTGGGCTCTTTTAAGTCCTTATATTGCTTGATTTCTTGACAGTAGCCAACACTGACTACTGTCAGGGCTCCATGTGCAAGCCTGGACCCAGAAAGTCTGAAGTCATGCCTGCCCGCTGATCGCCCCGCACCGCGCCCCCAACCCCGACTGAGATCGCCATTATCCCTGATCGCCGAGCGGAGCTTCCCCGGTACATTAAGCTTCCCTTCCTAAACTGCCATTTTCACTGTTATTATGATAATGTGAATACACCGCACCCCACCCCGCCATCTTAACTGTTCTTGCTCTGTGAATATCCCTCCGCCCTACCCTACCATCTTTTTTTTTTTCTGAGACGGAGTTTCGCTCTTGTTACCCAGGCTGGAGTGCAATGGCGCGATCTCGGCTCACCGCAACCTCCGCCTCCTGGGTTCAGGCAATTCTCCTGCCTCAGCCTCCTGAGTAGCTGGGATTACAGGCACATGCCACCACGCCCGGCTAATTTTTTGTATTTTTAGTAGAAACGGGGTTTCACCATGTTGACCAGGATGGTCTCGATCTCTTGACCTCGTGATCCACCCGCCTCGGCCTCCCAAAGTGCTGGGATTACAGGCTTGAACCACCGCGCCTGGCTTTCTTTCTTTCTTTCTTTCTTTTTTTTTTTTTTTGGTGAGACAGAGAAAACTCCGTCTCAGAAAAAAAAAAAAGTGCACCCTAATCTGGTTTCCAGGTGCAAAATCTGCACCTATCCTTCAATTTAAGCTTCATCAAACCGCTGCTACCTCCCGGTTTCCCACACAATTCACTGCACTTCTAATTTCCCTCTAAAGGGCCAGAACACCTACGCTGGTAACAAGCCACTTGAATTTGAATCCTGGCAAGGTAACTTACTACCTGACCATGGACATTGTACTGTTCTTAATCTCTCTGTGCCTTGGTTTCCTCATGTGTGTGAATAACATCAACACCGACATCAGAGTTTGCTGTATTAAATTTGATAATATACGTAAAGCATTTAGAAAAGTGCCTAGCTCATATAAAGCCCTATATGAATATTAGCTATCTTTTTTGTTTTCTTTTTTGTGTGTGTGACG